CTTTTGTAATACTTATAAGAATAAGTCACCGGATAGCAGTTAATTAGTATAGTGGTCATGTCTTCTCTGTCGATCAGGCGAGTAGTTTAGTCATTTGGTTAAATAACGTGACAATGCGGTTTTACAACAGGTTAAATGCTGCAATCTAAAATCTAGCTAAAAAATTAGTATTTCTAGTTTCAATAAAAAGTTATCCAAAAAATATGAACTTTGGCATGGTTACACAGAGGCGCAGCTTGCTGGTGAATGTCAACAGGTATGGAAGTGCTAAGATTCAGAGTTTCTCTAAACATATAAATTTTTAATTGCTTGAGGTAAATTGGTGAACGGTGAGTAGCGGTGGGATTCAAAAATGCGCATTTCATCCTATTTCGGACTCGTCGACCGCATTTACATGCATTCCCCAGTGAATGATGGTGTTTCTACTGAAACTTGAACCTAGTACCACCCATCGCTCCTAACGTCAAAGCGTTATCCATCCAGTAGACCAATTCGGCTACGAGAGTCACCTCATGTGCAACAGGCATCAGTTAATATTTGTTCTTAAGGTACACTAGATTGAAGAGTCCTAAACAGGACGCAATTTACATTCTGCTAGTCACCATCCACCAAACAGTATCATGTTAATCCTCAGATGTAGTCGAAGCGTTCGTACTAGGAGCCAACATGTCAACAGTCAGTCCAATTGATCAACGGGAAATATTAAAACTGACTTCAGAAACAAATGCTGAACACTATATTGGGCAATATTAATATTATACAATAAGTCAGAAAAGTTATACGAATTTGATAACAAATATCATAAAGCCCTCGAGTAGAACCCCAATAGAAAATAGCGAGAGTGACACGGACAAGATGAAACCATATGTGCAATCGTGCAGTCAGCTGAAAAGGACTGCAGTGGACAGGATGAAGTGGAAATGTGCTTCTGGAGCCTTACGTTCTACTCGGAACCCAAGGGAATAATAATAATATCATAAGACAATGACAGATTAATTTCTAATATAGCAAAAATATTCATTCAGATATCTATAAAACACAACATAATCGAGCAAAGAATATTGCTTTCGATAAATTCCTCTTCTGGCTCTACAATTATATATGCATGTTTATATACACAGAATATTCAAGGTTGGTAGTTAATAACAATATTAGTGTTTTTTAAATAATATTGATTTGTAAAGTAAGATCACAATGGAATTACCACAGTTCATTAAAGATGCTTAAATTATAATAGTAATAAAGATATAATAGCGAGTAGGATATCAACTAAAATTAGGAAATTTCCACAAAAATTGAGAATCATTCAAACCTAGATGGCCAAGGTAAGGACAGCGTCTGAACTAACTTCTTTTGGACGCACAAATTAGGCTTTTTAATGTGGATTCCAACAGCCAGTCTCAGCAATATTTAGTAATCGAACTCTTAAGGCGAAGTTGAGATTTGTTGGTATCCGGTAAATAACTCTAAAAGTCTGGTTAACATCAATCTTATGTTCTGTATCCACAAGATGAGCCAGAATAGTGCTTCGAATAGATTTTGTTTGGCCTTTGCTTAACCACACAGGGTGATGTTCGGAAATTCGACGAGAAACACGCCTAATTGTGCGGCCTATGTAACTGGCTCCACAGGAGCAGTTAAATTGGTAGATACACATGGATGAGGCGAAATTAGGCAGTTTGTCTTTTACTCCTGAACGCAGAAGAGGAGTGGTCTTAAAGATACAACGTAATTCAGCAGCAGGGAATGCTCGTTTTACCGCATTTCTAATACGCTGGTGTTAGTATCTCACTAGTGTTGTCCCCAAGGAACTGCATCTGAAAGAATAAGGCCTTTTTTGGAACTGTTGGTTACTTCGGCTGCTTTTGTTTCAAATTCATATTCTTATCAATAAACTTTTTAGGATAACCATTCTCACTTAGCAACCGTTTAATATTATTCAGTTCTTCATCAAGACATTCATCCAAGCAAATCGCTCTTGCTCTGTGAACCAGGCACTTTATCAAATTGCGTTTGTATTTCAAGGGCACAAAACTGAGAAAATGTGTGTACTGGCCCGTTGATGTAGGTTTTCTATAAACACTTCTTCTTATTGAGCCATCCTCTTTTCTGGTCATAAAAACGTCTAAAAATGGAATACTAGATTCCTTTTCTGTCTCGATGGTAAAATGTATTGCAGGATGTACCTCGTTAAATTTATCCAAGATGCTCTTTGCTTCCTTCTCGTTTTTCATAATCAAAAAAGTATCATCCATGTACCGACAATAAAATTCGAGTTCACTAATAACATCCTTCAGAGGCCCATTTTCTAGTTTCGCAAGGAAAATGTCGGCTAGAATGGGTCCTAGTGGTGACCCCATTGCCACACCGTCAATTTGTCTATATAGTTCCTTATTAAATAAAAAGTGGACATTCATTGTACATTTCAAGAGAAGCTCTTTCACAAATGATATAGGAATGCCGACATCGATGTTTCGTCGTTTAAGTTCTTCGCATACAAAATCCACTGTTTCCATAAGTGGTACATTGGTGAATAAGGAAGATACGTCAAATGATATCATGAATTTATTGTCAACATTTAAATCTTTTATCCTTTCCACAAATCCGAAAGTATCCTTTACACTGTGTTTCACTAACTCCGTATGAAGCGGCTGTAAGATTTCGACTAGCCATTTGGCTACAGGATGGTATGGCGAATTTAACATATCTAACACTGGTCGAAGCGGTACACCATCTTTGTGCACTTTAGGCGAACCATATAGTCTTGGTGTAAAAGTTCCAGTGGGTTTAAGAGATGTATACTGACCCTGTGAGATGAACCCTTGTTGTTTCAGTCGCTTCAATGTTTCCGTTAGCTGTTTCTCTGTCCTTTCAATCGGATCTAGAGAAGAGGAAATTTTTTGGAATTTTTGATTATCATTGAGAATGGTATTCATCTTCTCGAAGTAATCCGTTTTGTTCATGATAACCACTCCTGAACCCTTATCCGGTTTTGTTATTATTATATTTTCATTTTTGCGTAGGTTATCCAGAGCTTCTCTGTGTTTCTTGGTTAAGATACTATACAAATTGCGTTTACTGTTCAGGTAATAATAGTAACAATCGACCAGTGTTGATTTGAGTCTTTCAACATCTTCCGTTGATGAGGGGGTCAGGCCTTCCGTTTGGGTATATAGACTTTCGAACTGAATCTGTGCGTTCATTTTATTGATTTTTACATGACTATCACAAAATTTAGGGCCAAGCGATAGAACCTGTAGATCCACTTCACTAAGTATTACATCCGAAAAATTAAACACAAAACGATTTGGGTTCGGAGGAAACTTTGTTTCAGGTGCCTTGTTCTCTAAGCTCTGCAAAAGCTTTATGCGTTTCTTTTCCTTCCTATTACTCACAATTACATCCACATAATCTTCTTTGTGTTTATCTTAAAGTGAAGTTTTTATGTCTGTCTGACAAATTTTTTTCACTATCTCATATTTTTCGTAACGACTACACCCTTACACCTATATCAAAAGTCTCTTTTTCAGCTAACGGTCATTATCAATACTAATACTGAAGCCTAATGTCTACTGTAACCAGAAGCTGGCGCCTTCATATGATCAGGCTAGTATAGCACAAAGATCCATTGAGGTATGTTGGTGGGAGTGAGTGTTCCTGTGTGGTGAGAGCAGGCTGCTAGCCAATTGGTAGACATTAATCTACGTCAATGTCTAGCTCACTAATATTGGCCGTGAGAAAATATGAACAAGGCTGATTCAACAACCAATCACAGCAGACTTAACGTAGGCAAATATGATTCGGAGATAGATGGCTCCACTTTCCGAGGTTACCCGAAACAACCAATCAGAAGCCTGCGTTTGTCTGCTTAACTTCCGAGAAACAACCAATCAGAAGACTGCGTTCGCCTACTTGAATAAACATAATAATGTACATGAAATATATACAAATACGTGCTGATTTCCGTAATAAAACGATCTGTTGCCGGTCCTTGTCTTCTGCTGTTACACCTGCACATATACTATCATACCAGTAAGGTCAATTAGATAATGGCCACACTAAAGGTAGCTGCCATTATAGAGTAATTTACTTAGTCAACAGGGTGTGCGTCAGTGTGTTTAGTGGTAGAATGCTCACTAGCTACTCATGTGATCCGGAGTTCAATTCCCGGTCGGCGTACTCCTACACCTCGTCTAATTTGCTAGCCACTAGTAAGTCGGGAAAAGAGTTAATTTTGGGTGTGAAGTTAGCAACCCCACCCCGTAAAAACAATACCATGGACACTGAAACTTCAAGGCTTCAAGCCTGAAGCCCTATGTTTCACTCGGAACTAAAAAAAATTATGCAAATTAGACTACGGAATAGGGATAGCACTGCGTCCTAGGGCAGAAAACCCATTGGACCAAGTCGATCATAGTGTGGTGAGAGCTGGCTGCTAGCCAAATTGGTAGACAGTAATTTACGCCAATCTTTACGTCCCCCAGAACAAAGACTGATTCAACAACAAATCACAGCAGACTTTGCGTAGGCGGATACAATTTGCAGATAGATAGTCTGAACTTCAATAAACGGCCACAAAGAGATGAAAGATTAACTTTCAGTGAGAAATAACCAATCAGAAGACTGTGTTTTTCTGCTAACAATAACGCTAATAATAATGCACATGAAAATACATGTGTTGATTTCCTTAATAAACGATCTATTGCCTGGCCCTTGTCTTCTGTCGTTAAAATAGTACAATAGTTGCCTGGGTGTCTTTATTTTATTTGACCTTAAAATCCTCCCCTAACATTTGAAAATTTTTTTTCGTAAAGTTATGGACAAGTTGATTGGGCTGGTTGCATGAAATGTTACGAGACGAAAACGGACACAGAATACAAGAATGTTGAATCCAGACAGACAGACAGAATACAATTTACAGGGAAGCAAATAACCGACACAACTAGAAGTGAAAAATAACCCCACTCCCCTTTTTAAAAATAAACAAAACAAATACTTACCTATCTTCTAAATCCACCAAATGAATCCCATTTTCTGTGAGCATTTTCTCGCCTTCTGATAATGGTTCACCAGAACGTCTCACTAGTGCTAAACCTTTTCGCATACATCGGCCAAAATCTTCTTCTGATAAACTGAGTGATTCATGTGTTAGATTTCTGAGAAAGTGTACGGCACATGACTATATAGGGTGAAAGAAAAAGTAAAGGTCGGAAAGACATGAATAAGTACAATGTTTAAACTTCGAGAAAATTGCATGCATTCAAAAAGCGCAGAGCTTTCGAGCAGATCAACATAGACATAACACAGAAGTTAAATCAGTTCAAGTCCTGACAATTTCAGGAAGCACACAAAATATGGAAACATAAACACAATGATCTTATAACACACAGGCATCGGTGTAATAGAGAGAGTAATTAAGTGAAGAATTTCAGAATTCGGAAGACTAAGAGTGAATATATGTGTCGCATTACAGAGTCCCCCATCGCAATGCTGGATGAAATCTCCAGCTTTAAAGTGAACGCTTAGGGTGTCATACGCCAATTTAGGCCACTTTTGGCATCTTTGAGAAGTTAGTCTGTCTGTCAAAAGTCAGTTTTACAATACTTCGGTGGGCGCAATTTTACTCTACGCCTGGGAAACCTGGTCTCTCCAAGTTGAGAATGTGCGGCGGCTCTACGTATTCGACTGTCGCCGCCTCCGAAGAATTGCATGCGTCCAGTGGCATCATCAACCACCGAGAAATCCAATGGAACTAGAAAACTTCGAAAAATCGTCAACCATAGGTCTGTCGAAATGTTTATTGAATCCAGTCACAAAATTGACTTTGAAAATAATGACAATTCAACTGCGCTTGTGGAGCCAATTATATTGGCCGTTGCTCTAGGAACTTGATTTTTCGTGCTCACTCGAGAACATCTCCCAGCATGGCTAAGTAAAGGTGTAGTGAAAACCATTAACAGTTCGATATTGGACCATCTGGTGCAAACCGGCCGGCCACAAAGCCAGCCAGCGTTGAAGAATCCTTCTCTATAATATACCGAGTGCCTAATAAATTGTCGAAATCATCGAAGCACCGCAGGCTCCAAACAGCAGAGGCTATTGCGATTCGCATCAAACAACCAGCGCTCTGTGTTCAAAAGAAGCAAGTTCAGCCCCTTCTATTGCCCTGGCCTTCAGCAGAGACTATAAATTCATGAATTTGTAATATTATCTTTCCTAATTCAACTGACATTCAGCTTATTTTATGTTGATGCGATTTAGCTGTAATCTATCAATATTGTTATTGATTCGATGTTATTTAATATAGTTCATAACACTAATTCATTCATTCACTATAATGTGTAGATATAACTGCAGAGCCTGATGATAAAGGGGTTATCGCACAGAGTAATCTTTGTTCAGTATCCATTCTTTTGAAAATAAGGAAATCATCCAGAAAAATGTCAAAAATTACAAAGGACGTCCCATATCAGAAACACTTAATTCATTTTTTGAATAGGAATGACGGATCAAAACAGACTATGACCGGGTTCCAAAGTCTCTCCTCGCCATGAGGTGACAAAATCAGAACAAATGTGATAGGCAATTTCACTATGTAAACACAAGCTGTTTCTATAACTTCATAAACTTATCAAATCCAACAATCTGCAGATGGTTCGCTATCCTTACGAATTCATCTACTTGACAACGTAAAGAAATTACTTCAAATCAAAGAGCTGTGATTAAATAAATTACTGTATATAAGCTGAGATACTGTGAATTCTGGTTTAAAAAGCAAAAAGGGATTGAGCGAAGAAATATTTACTTTCAATTAGATCCTCATCTCACTCTGGCTCTACTCTAATATATATCCATAGCACTTTTATTACAATACACAACAGTTTACCAATCAAGTGGCACTGATATGTTTGTTAACAATAATTAGTCAGTGTCATATTGTCAATGGGGTGATCATTAACGAAGAATGCAGACACATCTGCATTTGACTCTGTTCCCAGGTCTCTCTTGCTAAGTAAGCTTGCTGCAACACAGGCTGAAAGCTGGACAAATAAGTGGTTGCATTCCTATTTTTCTGAAAGGAAGCAGTACACCGTCTACAATGGAAAATCCTCCACTACCTCACTTACTTTAGCTGGTGTTCCTCAAGGTGCTGTTCTTTCTCCCTTTCTGTTCTCGTTTTTCTTACATGACTTGCCTCATTCTGATGTAGCCACTTTTGTTAAGTATGCCGATGACCTCTCTGTTTCTATGCCTGTCAACTCTCAGTCAGATTGTTCCAAATTAAATAACTTTCTGTCGGAAATTAGTCAGTGGTCCTCTTCAAACGGACTTAAGCTAAATCCGTCTAAATGTCAGGTAGTCAATTTCACTTTCAGACGTAAATGTGACCTACAGCAACTAGTTAGCTCACATGGCCCCACTCTCATTGACGGCACAGAGGTTGAAAATACATCTAATGTCAAGTACCTTGGGCTGAGTTTTTCCACCGATCTTTCCTGGTCTTCCCACATCTTGCTAGTTACTAGAAAGATGTTTCGCTTAACGTTCTACATTAGGAAATTTAGGCAGTCTGGTATAAAGCAATCTTTACTTTCTCAATTTGTAAATTCTTGTATTCTACCCATCCTCCTTTACTGCTCCCCATTAGTCTTTCCTGGACTACTTAAGAAAGACTTTGCTTCGCTGAGAAGGGCACTAAAAGCTGTTAGTAGGGCAAGTGGGATATCGTTAAACCAACTGGTGAACACTATTGTAGATAGACATATTATGTCATGTAAGAAACTAGCGAATACAATATTGTCGGACCCCGAGCATCCTCTCTATACGCATCTATCTCCTTGCATTTCATCTGGTAGAACTAGAAGCAGCTATAGGAGGCTATATGCTAGGACTACCAAATACAAAAACTCCACAATACCATATCTGGCACAGCTGTTATGTGATGAGAAATCCGTTAGGTATGACACGATCAACTTACTGCAGCACTCTAACAAATAGTCTCATTAGTTTTTGTTTTCCTTTCCTCGTTACTATTACACTGTTGTTCTCATCTTCTATCACACATCAACTTTATATTTCAAATCCTGTGGTGCATTGTTTGAAATGTAATACTCTACGCTGTTTTTTCTTAATTTTTAATTTTTATTTATTTTAATTATTTATAACTTATTTATTTTATTTTTATTTATTTATCTTTGATTTTTAAAAATCTTCTATAATTTATGAGGTAATTAGATGCAATATACTGTAATGCACGCTGAAAATTCCATACCTGTACCACAAATACCGTTTGGAATAAAGCTGTTATTATTAATATTAAAAATTATTAAAATCAATATGCACAATTAAAAGTTATAAATAATTACAACAAGTGGATCGCATAATGCATAATTTCAGAAAAATGAAGAGCAATTAGGGAATAAGTGAGTGTCCAAGCCGATTACGTAACAGATAATCGAAGGAAAATAAAACGATTTGATAACTTTTAATTCAAGATGAAGCAGTCAGAAAAATAATTTGGACAAAAATAATTTTAAAAGGTTTAGGGGGGAGGGGCGCGAATTAGTCTGGTTTATACATTGTTGGTATTAGATGGTTGGAGGCGATCAGCCACAGGAAGCCTTCAACATAGATTTCGTGCTAGTTGGCACTCACTAGTAAGTCAGCAAGGCGTATCTGCAATCCTGAAGAAACTCATGTCCCTTCCGAGGTTCGAATTCGTGTCACCCAGTGGGGCTGCAGTCAGAGACGTTACCACTGAACTATTCAGGCTCGCAAATGACCTTCTGTAGGACTGTATTGAATATTTTTGATTGGACACTAGTCAGTAACTAGTGTAATGCATGTGTGTGTGTGTTTTCTAGTCCTATCTTTGATGCAGACTGAATTCTACCAGTCAAGCTTGCGATGTGGCCATCATGCTAGGTGGCTCGCCACCAAAGTTCACCGTGAATTGTTGGTATTCGATTGTTGGTTTATACATGTAACGATGGCCAAGATAAGGAAAATGGCTGTACGAATTTCTTGTGAACACACAGGTTTAGCTTCTTCTTCTTCTTCTTCCACAGGTGGATTTCTATGACCCCAGCTGTTGTACGTAGAAGACGAACTCGTAAAGCAAAATTAAGATTAGTATGAGAAGGTGATAAATAATTTTAAATGCTGTATTAACATCAACTTTATGCTCACTATCTACAGGGTATGCTAAAACAGAGCTAGCTACGAATAGATCTTATTTGCTCCTTGCTTAATCATGCCGGATGATGTTCGGAAATACAGTGATGAGCCTGACTAATTCTGGTTTAATAATATTATTTTGATAAAGGTATTAGCAGTATTTTAGACAGAGTAACGTCGGTATTAATAATATCGTTTTGTAATATTGATATAAGTATAAAACTTCGGCACTGTATTAGAGAAGAAACTTTATTATGGATAAGATTTTATTTTGATAAAATCACTCAGTGTTATACAGTAATATTTACTGATGACCACGTTTCGAGCACAAATTATTACCGCTGATAATCATATCATGGCACTACTCACACAACTTTCTTGATCCATTTATGTACATGAGTAAAAATGCATGAATAGACAATTCAATGAAATAGTTATAAGATAATAAGGTACATTCTGAAATAATATTAATGTTATCAATAAAATACGATCAGATGGGTAATAAGACGAGTGTTTTTATAGTCAAAATAAATAACTTGTTAGAATGTTATCATGTGAATTGAATACATTCTAACATTATTTATTATCCTCCTCTGATTTGACTGGTATTAATATCTTCTGTACACAAAACCTCTCTAATCCTCACTTTCTTTGTCTTCATCTTCATCTCTATTACCTTGCCTTCCCCACTGATGCAACTCCTCTACTTGATGGCTCCTCACTCCCTCTTCACTCTGGTCCACTAAAAACAGAAGCCAAAAAACCACCACGAAGCTCTAAAGCCCGCCACCAATTTCATATAGGAGCTTAATGTTAGGACACTTTGCCAAATAGGACAACAAGCATCACTAGCTAAGACCCTGGCATCCGAGCCATTGATGTATGTTGTGTTTCAGAAACACGCATACAAGACCCAAGTGTGGTTATTCACCTAACCCCACCTGGCCAACAGGATGAATCTTCAAAATTCACCTTGAGGGTGTCAGGAGATGCCACAGCTAGTTCACGAGGATTAGCTGGCGTAGGGATAGCTCTGAGTACTAGGGCAGAAAAGACATTGCTTGACTGGATCCCAGTAGATAGCCGAATGTGTGCTGTCCGTCTGAACGGATCAGTAAGAAGGAGAAAGGACTGCACTACTCGCCGATGCCTTTTCGTAATCTCCGCCTACGCCCCCACTGACTGCAGTTCGGATGAAACGAAGGATGAGTTCTACCAAAAGCTGTCTAGTTTGGTGAGAAAGGCTAAACGCTCAGATATAGTCGTTCTAGCTGGTGACTTTAACGCTCAAGTAGGGAAATTGTGTCAATCTGAGAAGGATGTCGGTGGCACCTATGGAGTTCCGTGCCAGCGAACCGACAACGGTGACCGTCTCCTACAGTTCTGTTCAGATAATCATTTGTTTCTTGTAAGCACTAACTTTAAACACAAGGAGAGACACTGTTTAACCTGGCGACCCCCATCATCAAACCAACGCTGGACACAAATAGACCACATAGCAATAAGCTATCGTTGGCGTGGGTCGGTAGGAGATTGTCGCTCCTTCTGGAACACGTGTGTAGATACCGATCACGCACTGGTCCGGGCTCGTGTGTGCTTACGACTGAACGGACGTAGGAAACAGCTGGCGGTAAAACCATCACGTCCCCAGCTCGATCAGGAAACTAAATCCCTATTTGAGGAAGAACTAGCTAAACGCATATCTGTCGACAGCTGTGCTCACCCTGGAGAAGCCTGGAAGAATATTCAGTCAGCTATAGATACAGCTGTAAAAGCTGTGAATAAGGCAAATCCAAAGGTGAGTAAAAACCACTGGATTTCGACTGCCTCATCCGAACTGATAGATGCTAGAAGACTTATTCCGGCGAGCTCCGAATTCAATGAGGAGCGAAAGCTGCACAAAAGGAAACTTACTAAAAGTCTCCGCAAGGACCGTGAACAGTGGTGGTGACAAAGGCAAAAGAGATGGAAAAAGCATCGGCGATAGGCAACACTAGGCAACTCTTTAGACTCATCAGAAACGGGGGGAGAAGGCAATCATAAGTGAGACTATTTCTGAGAAAAATGGCTCCTTAATTAGCTCTCAGGATAGACGCCTTGAACGCTGGAAAGAACACTTTGAGGACAATTTAACTTGCCTACAGCCACACTGAACCTCCCCGCATCCACCACACCCGAATGGGATATAGACACTGGTCCGCCGTCTGTAGTGAGGTACAAAAGCTATCAGTAATTTGAAACGAGGCAAAGCGGCAGGACCCGACGGAATTATTCCGGAGGTGTTTAAATATGGGGGTGACATACTAGTTTGTAGATTAACTGAGGTACTAGGCAAAGTCTGGGAATCAGAGACAGTCCATCAGACTGGGGTAAGTCACTTATTATACCGATATTCAAGAAGGGAAACAAGTCCTCGTGTGATAATCATAGGGGGATCAGCCTAACGAACATAGTCTCTAAAATCCTAGGCTCAGTAATCATGCATAGACTAAGCAGAACTCGGGAGGAACAGACAAGGGAAAATCAAGCAGGCTTTAGACCAGGTAGAGGGTGCATAGATCATATCTTCACTCTTCGACAGATTCTAGAACATAGACACACTTTTCGGCGTCCAACAATTGTCATATTTCTTGACTTGAAGGCGGCCTTCGACTCCGTGGATCGAAAGGTACTATGGCAATGTCTGACTGTGAAGGGAGTGCCAAGAAAGTACATTGCACTAATCAAGGCACTCTATTCAAACTCACGTAGTCGTGTAAGGGCTTATGGGGAATTGTCATCTGAATTGGTAACAACCAGTGGTGTCCGACAGGGATGTCCACTTTCCCCATTTCTGTTTAACTTCATCATAGATATGCTAATGGAAGTATCCTTAACTGAACGTAATGACTTAGGAATCGACTTGTTACCAGGGAATAATCTTATGGACTTAGAATATGCAGATGACATAGTCCTGTTAGGGGAGGATGCTGACAAAATGCAGAGTCTTCTGAACACCTTGAGCAGCAATCTTCGTATGTTTGGCATGCGATTCGCCCCTGCAAAATGTAAGATGCTGCTACAGGACTGGACCACGTCAACCCTAACTTAGTGATAGGGAGTGAAGTGATAGAACATGTTGACCACTTCACCTATTTGGGAAGTTGTATTAGCACCAACGGACTGATTGGCGATGAAATCTCAGCACGGATCCGAAAAGCTCGAGCTGCTTTCGCTGACTTACACCATCTCTGGCGTAGGCGTGACATCCGGTTATCAACCAAGGGACGTGTGTACTGCTCATCAGTTCGCTCCGTCCTTCTCTATGGCTCTGAAACATGGCCAATACGCGTTGAAGACATGAAAAGGTTGACTGCTTTCGATCATAGATGTCTGCGATCTCTGTCTCACGTTAGGTGGTTTCACAAGGTAAGTAATGTTGACGTTAGGCGTAGAGTGTTGGGCAAAGAGGGAAAATCAATCGACGAGGCTATAAAGTTACATAGACTAAGATGGCTAGGTCACGTGCTGCGCATGCCTAACCACCGCCTCCCCCGACGGGCATTTTAGCTGATATAGGTTCAGGTTGGAAAAGAGCCAGTGGTGGCCAAACAAAAACATGGCATCAATCCATGAAATCCTTGACAGTTAAACTGAGTCAGGTAGGGAGATGCAGACTCCCGGGTTGGGGCCCTCGGGACTCTAGGAATCAATGGCTGGAGACAATAGGTGACATGGCTCAAAATCGTTGTCAATGGCGCAGATGTATTCAGTCTCTGTAATCTTTCATATTCCTTTCTACCATTACCCATTCTGTTTCACTCTTATACTTGTCAAACTCTATTGATTCTCTTCACTCATCTTCTTGTCTACCTCTGTGTGCTATTTGGAACGTGGCAACTCGAACTGGTGCACTTCGGTGCCAAGTTCTATGTTGAATCCAGACAGACAGAATAATATCTTCTATAAATATCTCTGATATTTGGGTTGAGTCACTCTTATTATATGTGCTGGGTGTGTAGACTCGGTGAGCAAGGATTCAGTAATAAACCTCTCTCTATCCACCTACCTATATTACTTCTTAGAATTTCAACCCTCTCTCACCACCATATTGTGTGGCTGTTTGTTAATGCATGCAGTGCTATAGCTGAGCTTTTTTTCTAAATGACTTATCATCGAGGGACCAATCCTTCTAACCTTCACTAAATCCTTATTTTCTGATAATCTCGCTACTCTTGATCTACTAGTTACTTATTTTTACTATAAAAACACTCGTCTTATTTCCCATCTGATTGTATTTGATTGATAGCACTAATATTATTATTCCCGAATATACTTTATCTCATATTGATTTTATTCAATTGTCTAATCAATTTCACTCACTCATGTACATAAATGAAGCAGGAAAGTTGTGTGAGAAATGACTTGATATGATTATGAGCAATAATTTGTGCTTGTAACTTCATCAGTAAATATTACTGTACAACAATGTGTCATTTTATCAAAATAACATTCTATCCATAATTCATTCATTAAGAAATATAAACACTTTTATAACGATGACTAATAATGTCATTAACTAATTTAAATTAGATGGAGGATTTAATCATGGGTTGACAGCAGTTAGATAACCATTGGAAAACCAGGTGGGAATACTGGAGAGCTGTTTCGTCCTAGTTAGGGACTCTTCACAGTACGCACCCATGACAAGGCCAGCGAGCTTGTAGACCACTTAGCAGCCACCGGGACCCGATCCAATGACCAGCCCATGAATTCTAACTTCTATCAATTCACGACATAGCGCGACTATTTCGCAATATCTTTTTCAATGAGTTACTGTCCCATCTTCAACCCGATATAAATAAAAAGAAACTAAATCACAACTCACCAGATTTGTAAAGAAGTAACCAGCTTCTCCACTATTCAATCTATTCTGATTAGCAAATCGCATAATAAATTGTAAATTAGAATAAATCAATGGTGGATTCGAGTTCAAGACAACCCATATTAATGTGGGTAGAAAATCATCAGCATTTGCTGTAGTATTATTATCTTCTTCGATAGGATTAGTAGAAGTTTTAGGTAGAGTTGAATTATTCGCACCTGGCTTGAAGACAGAACCCAACGGTGTATTACTGCTACTATTATTACTATTAGTAGCAGTGTTTACATCATTGCTGGCGGCATTATTGTACATATATTCTTGAGTTTTAATAGAATAATTTCGATAGTGAACTTTTAAAGCATCAAAGACACTGCGGCAGCACTCGACGATTTGATCCAATTTATCCTCAGAGGCTAGAAGTGTATTCACTTTGATAAGAGCTAAAATAAGATAAGGAGGGAAAATATAAGACAATTATTGAAGTTAGTTAGAGGATTTCATCATGAGCGAAACCTGGGAGTATTGGAGAGCTGTTTCGTCCCACTAGTTCGGGACTCTTCCCCAGTACGCACCTACCGACAGGGTTCGAACCCAGGACCCTCTGATTATAAGGCGACTGAGCTCTAACTGATATCAATCCGTGATCAACTCGTAAAAACAAAACTAATCCTTACAAACCAACTATAGAAAATATCATTATATCAACAAAACTTTAAAACTCATAAAAATAATGAAACGAATGAGTGAATAAATGAAATCTGTGCCAAAAGAACACTGCATAAATTAAGTATGGAGTATTAAATTTAATTGACCTTAATTTATAAAGGAGTTTAATATATTCTATTACTTTTATTAGTTTTTATTTTGATAAATCACACAGTGTTGTACAGTGATCCATGAAGGGGATCACTGCTAACAGTAATGCGTCAGTTCAGATTATGGATTTTGTAGGGATTCGGATTAATCTCAATGTAGATTTCGCCATGAACCAAATGGAAACGAAGGAGATCTGGACATCTGTTTCACCATAGTCTAGAACTCTTCAGAATTAAGTGCCCAAGACCCCACCAGAGACCGACACCAGAACTTTCAGATAGGCAAGCTTGCTGGGTCGAAGTTCAGTGACCCATGAACTCTAAATTCTGTAATTTATCGATATGCCACTACTGTAGTTCAACAGTATCAACAAGTACTTATCCTCATACTTTATTTGGTGAATCCCATCAGCCACGACTTTTCATCAAAACTATAGAAAGTCAATCGCGCAGACACTCTCTTGTAAGTATTGGACTGATAGCTAGATGTCACTACGAAACGACATCAATTAGGGGCTTATCGATAGCACTCTGATTGACGGTGGTACTATATTGAGGTTGATAAAAGTTAGAATTCACGGGTCATTATGAATTCCTACCCAATGATTGACTGGTCAACCAATTGGCATCGCAACCTATAGGTCCTGGGTTCGACCTCTGGCGGAGTCATGTATATATGCACTACTGAAGACTCTCAGCAGACAGAAGCAGCTGTTCAGTGCTTCCTGACTTTCAGTGATTTTCTCATTGATGCTGGTTCCTGACGAGATCTACACTGAAATACTTGACTGACAGAGCATATAATAGTTCGAAGTACCAGAATGGTTTGTGGAGACAAGATACCTCGTATCACAATGTCAATTCTCATAGAATGTGAATCATTTTATGATTTAAAAGCCAGAATTTAAGAAACATTTCAAAATTAGATAAAGAGGTATGAATCTGTTTTGACACACATGATGAATCGTAAGTGAACTTTAATAACTGTATATTATCATACCATACATCTCAGAGTGTAAACTACACAATGCCATATGTCAGTATGAAAAGCTTTTAGAAGCGACATTAAATGTTATTGGTTTTTGAAAAACCAGGGCCAGACAACAGATCGTTTATTGAGAAAATCAACAGATTTTTATGTACATTATTATTAGCGTTATTGTTGTTAGCAGAGAAGCAACGTTTTCTGATTGTTTGTTTTCTTGCTGAAGGTAATTCTGTACTGCTTGTGACCGTTTCTTAGAAAGGTTAAGCCATATATCTGCGAATCGTATTTGCTCACGTTAAGTCTGCTGTGATTGGTTGGTGAGTTCCTCAAGGTTAAGGCTTTGTCATTGTTTTTCCCATAACCCCGATTCGGGACGTGACATTGACGTAAATTGTCGTCTACAATTTATGGCTTGCAGCGCTCTCACCACAGCTTCCAATAGATGTGCGACAGACATTTCCTGAATCTGCGATTCAAGAGAATATTACTTTTTGCTGCCAAGTACGTGTTATGCATATGTAACTGTAAAGTTTGAGAGATGTTTAGAAAGAGTAACCGTTTACTGGACACTCTTTTGTTGTAGGATCCCGACCGATAGCTGCTACCTTGACGTGGTGGTCGGGCTTGCACATCGTAATGACCCAACAAGCTACACTGGCTAGAACTATTGTTCCTGCAGGTCCTACCATCCCAGGAATATTGTTAGGATAGCGATTAGACAAAAAGCAGTTACCGGAATTGTGTAAGAATCTTTCTTACACTTTGCTGGGGGTCCGAGGGCGAAGTCGTACTGATGGAGAACAGGGGTGTAACAGCAGTGAGGTGTTTCCCTCAGATGACCAGCATGCCAGCCAGCTATGCTGTCTCTCCACTCTGTAGAGAGGGAGTTAGAGAAGGTCGACCCCAGAAATTGTACATCCCGACTTACCCCACCTGCGGTGGTCCGTAACCGGCGGTTTACTAATACGGAACCAATCCCAGAAACCAATTCATACAGGCTGTGTGTGACCGGCCGGCCTCAAGCAGTTATCCCCTGGGCTCTGTGTTCATGCAACACTAACCGTCTTTCTGTTTCAGGTACCCGAAGAATCAATCAACTTCCACGGTGTGGGCAGCCGGGAAGTAACAACCACCCACACACTTCCGAAAGCACACGAAGCCTTCCTGAGCATCATTCTCCTCTGTTGTAGGATCTAATGAAGATTTTAAGTTACATTTTAAAAGGTTACTCGTCCACGTCTTAATAACAAGGTCAAAAGGTTAATCCCACGGAACATTTATTTACATGACCGATGTTCACGAAAGAGTTTTTCATGAAATTTAGCCTGTTCTCTCTTCTACTGAATCTGGAGAATGAGTACACCTTATGCCCAAGAGAAGTTAAATTTTCTATGGTTTTTAGTTGTCGAAACTGCATACAGAGAAAATTCATGTGTAAGAATCCAGACGAAAACACTAGGCAACATATGTTGGATAGTGTGGAAAAGGAGAAATTAAAGAAATTGAATTCAGAACCACACAAGACAATCTTTAAAGACAAAGTGAACAAAACTACGAAACACCTAGTGATTCACTTATAACAATATAATACCTTGATGACGGCTAAATCGTCACTACGGTAAATATTATGAGCATATAGCAGTGTATGCTTGTTTGTTTGCCTTAAAGCTGGTAATCCTAATTACGTTAGTTAGTGCCCTCACAAACAACCTGGTGTGGACACGGGTAAGCAGACTTCAGTCCCCCCCCCCCAAAAAATGCATTCTATTCTATCTACGGGAGCTGGAAAACCATGATTTCAAACCCAATGACTCCAGAATCCAAAAGGATCGAATGGTACATGAGAACCCGCTTTGGTCACCAGAAACTACTATAAGAACGTAGCTCCTGATGATAATTCACTGTATCCGGACAGTATCCCAGCTCTCGCTCGTATAAACTGTGAGATTTTGTGTAGCGCATCTCTTCGTGCCCATAATGTACTAAGTTTGTGTTTTAATAATAATAATAATAATAATAATAATAATAATAATAATGTGTTAGTCCTTTGAAGACGCATAATGTTCTTTTGAATGCTTGTGTATGAAGGTCAGATTACTTCAACAAGTTATTCAATCACTGATTGACTGGTTTCAACATAGAACATTGCACCAACGTGCAACAGTTCGAGTTGCCACACTTCACCTAGCACACAAATCAAGAGAAGAAAGTAAAAAGAGATGAAAAACAGAGACAGTAGACAGGGGTGTGAGATAAAAGAATAGTGATATCGAAGAACCATATAGTCTCCACTTGCTTCTGTCTTCTGTTGTACTTTTCACCTTCATCCATCCATGTTAGTCCATACTTTTTCAACTCCCCTTCACACGATCTCCTCCATGTCACCCTTTCACTGACGTCCACTCGCCACGTGCCTCCCTTTCGTCCTGGTTCCACTCGAGCAATGGCATGACGCACGCGCGATGTCACCCAGTGGCCCGGCCTCCTCAGCCACGAGTGTCCAATCCATCCATCTCCACTTTCTCCTGCATATTTCTTGGTTGGCGATTGGTTTGTTCTTGTTTCGCTTGTTTGTTCCCATAGTTTCTTGTTGGTGATTCTGTCCAGCCCGGCCATCTGATCTTCAGTATAGATCCAGCGAAGACAGTTGTTAATAAAGGTTTGGTCTGCAACAGGCTGTTGGAAATATTCTTTGTGAACCGCCAGTCAAGTTTCTGATCCGTATAGAAGAACTGACTGACTTGACCAGGTTTGTATTGAAAATCCGACCGAATTTTGTTGTCGATGCTGGCTGAGTGACGAAGATTTCCAGATTGGTTTCAGGTTGATGATGAATGTGTTCCTCACCTTCCCGATTCTCGCTCGATTTGACATCCTCGTCCGTTCCTCCTGTAGCTGACACAATGCTCAATGTTAGATAAGTGAATGAAGTAACCTCTTTCAAATCCCTCCCGTTGATGGTGATAGACACTGGATGTTGCTGCTGCTGTTGTCGCCTAGATTACTAGCTCGCTAGTTTTCTAGCCGGTTCCAAGCTCGGATAAAGAGGGAGGGTTGGGGCGTGGTGTTAGCGACCCCACCTCCAAATCTTAACCAAATCGCTACAGAAACTTCAACGCACAAATATATTAAAAATTCTAAAAATATAAACAATAACCTTATTTTTCGCTGGAATCGGGGAAGTGAAATGACGCAGGCTGGTGAAAGCCTTCGGGAAGCCAGTCAGACGATGTGCCTTCTTTCTTTCGATGAAAGCAAAAGTAAGGATGGGGACGTGGAATGTTCGTACAATGTACGAAATTGGAAAGAATGCCCAGGTAGCCGCAGAAATGAGAAGATATAGAATAGAAGTGTTGAGAATCTGCGAGAGCAGATGGAACGGATGCAGCAGATTTACTCAATACCAAAAGTAAAATATAAATGGATAAACGGTACGAAACAGCTACACATGAGCATAAAAGTAATATAAAGATACCACACAATGAGTGAGTGATTATAATGATTCGAAGTGTAACACTTAAGTGAGAATTTCAGTTTGCTTGTAATCAATCAGTTTTAAATGAAATCAATTCAATAATTTCGGATTACGTGTTTATAGCAGGAAGAAACACGAGGTTGAATATAAGAACTACTTCTATTTATTATTTTGGTTTTTATTCATGTACTTTTAGTTTTAATAGCTAAAAAAATATATATATGGTGGTCAAACACGTTGATTTCGCCTTCAATCACCAATCGCAGTAATAATATCATATGATAAAATTGAGTAAAATTGAGTCACAACAGACAATTTAGGTCATAACTGACGTTGTAAGTCATTGCAGAATTTTGAAAATATTGAGTCGATATAGATCAATAGGCAACCCGTGGAAGAACACTTTAGTTTACTGTCAAAAACTCTTAGAACAGAATACTTTGAATAGTTGTTAAACCTGCAGTTAGGTAAGAATAAAACAAGTTTTGAGGAAGACGATGCCATAACGTATAATATACTGTAACAACAGAAGACAAGGGCTAGGCAACAGATCGTTTATTAAGGAAATCAATAGATATTTATAGATTTTCATGTACATTAATATAGATTATTGTAAGTAAACAAACACAGTCCTCTGATTGGTGGTTTCTCGTTGAACATTAATCTTCCATCTCTTTGTGGCCGTTTATTGAAGTTCAAATTATCTATCTGCAAATTGTATCCGCCTACGCAAAGTCTGCTGTGGTTGATTGTTCAATCAGTCTTTGTTTTTATTTTTGTCACGTCAAATATTGGGGACGTAAACATTGACGTAAATTACTGTCTGCCAATTTGGCTGGCAGCCAGCTCTCACCACAATACCAATCCAAAATGCAGTTTTAAACTGTCATTTGGATTATATTCTCTAGGACTGATTTTAGCTAGTGGTTATATGGTATATTTGGTGGATGGGGATCAGCAGAGGAATCCACGATGTGTATTTCACTCTAATTGGGACTTGTTAGCTGGATGTGCCTGCAATTTTCACTGCGACTTGAACCCATCACCCATTGCTTCAAACACCAAAGGGTTAACCCACAAGACCACTTGTGTCACTTCTACTAGTAGCTACATACTTGCTATCGATCAATCTCCCATGTTAAGGTGAGTAATATAGAGATTAAGCTTCAATCGACTGCTAGGTAAGGAGGGGAAATCAATCGACGAGGCTGTCAAGCAGCTGCATCGATTGAGGTGGTTAGAACATGTGTTACGCATGTCTGCCTAGCCGTCGATTGCCTTCCTCGAAGTGCAATGTTAGCTGATATAGGATAGAAAACAGCTAGTAGTGGTCAAACCAAAATACGGCTACATTAGTCAACGAAATCCACAACACTTGTTTTAAGCCAGTCACGTAGGTGAGAGGTGTAGACTGCCTGACTGGTTGGGTCCTCGGAATGGTAAAAACCAGTGGCTGGAGACAATCGGTGATATGGCTCAAAATCCTCGTTCTCAATGCCTGGCGCAGATGCATCCACTCCTTGTGATTTATAATGTCTAATAAAACTACATTGTTCTTCCATATTACAATACTTATATCTCTGTTTTCTGTCTGTGCTTTGCATTTCTTTTTACTTTCTTCTTTTGCGTTGTGTGCTAGGTTAAGTGTGGCGACTCGAACTGCTGCAGATAGGTGCGAACTTCTACGTTGAAATCACTCAGCCACCCATCAATCATCTTTGTCAAAAATGACTATGGCCGATGCCATTACATTACATCACCGAGTCTAAAAATATGAACTTAAGGCAACCCATACAATCTTTGAAAAGCATTTTTAAGATATAGGGTTAAGTTAGTATTTTAAGCCACTTATCTACATTTTATTATCATTATCGTCAAACAGTTCCCGTATGTTTACTCAGAAGTCCGTCAACCGATGAACACAACATTTTAAACGCAAGAAGCGATGCTTTTACCTGGAAATCACTGACGTTTGATCAAAAACCCAAAGGAAGCAGATCAAATTATCATGGAATGCCAAAATCAGTAAAAAGATGTAAAAGCATGCAGATAAAGGAACTGTTGTAGAAAATTTTGTGATTTATGAGTACGAGAGTCAATTATGACAGAAAGCAACTGAAAACACATTAACCAATAGCTAAGATATTTGATCAATACTTCCTAATTATCTGCTATCCAGTAACAACACAAAAGCAGCATCGATATGGGACTTGCAGCCATCACTGTGTTCTAGGTTACAGTCTGTGATATTAAACAGCACCTCTGTGAAAGCAATCGCAGATGACCCTGAGATGTTACCTAAGGTTGCCGAAATAAATATTTCTTTCTCGCTGGGTTATCTAATTGAGTCTTCGGGTACCTGAAACAGAAAGAGGGTTAGTGTTGCATGAACGCAGAGCCCAGGGGATAACTGCTTGAGGCCGGTCACACATGGTCTATATGAACTGGTTTCTGGGATTGGTTCTGTACTAGTAAACTTACTGCCAGCTACGGACAACCGTAGGTGGGGTAAGTCGGAATGTACAATTTCTGGGTCCGACCTTTTCTAACCCCTTCCCTCCCTCCAGAGTGGAGAGATAGCATAGCTGGCTGGCGTGCAGGTCGTCATCTGAGGAAAACACCTTACTGTGGCTGTTATATCCCTGTTCCCCAGAAGTATGACTTCGCCCACAGACCCCCAGCATAGTGTAAAAAAATTCTTACACTACACCAGCAACTGCTTTTAGTCTAATCGCTATTCTAACAACCTTCCTGGCATGGTAGGACCTGCAGAAACAATAGCTCCAGACAGTGTAGCTTGTTGGGTCATTACGATGTGCAAGCCCGACCACCACGTCAAGGTAGCAGCTATCGGTCGGGTGGGTGATCTAAACCATGAACAAATCCAACTTACCAAGTACAAGCGGTAACGTGCTAAAAGTTTATTTGAGAAGAATTATAAACACTTCTCTAAATAAGAACGGCAAAACTAAGCGATCAAGCAGCAATATGATAAGCTGTAGATCGAGGTCTATAGAAAACAATATTATTTCATTAAAACATAAGCTTGGTACATTATGGTCACCAAGAGATATGCCACACAAAGTCTCATAGTTTGTGAGAGGACTGGGGTACTGCCCGAACGCCAGACCGTTGTCAAGGGGCAACTCTCCGAGCCTTCGACTTGAAGTCCAATCCACAAGGCACTGGAGCAGCGTCAGGAATCATGTTTTCATAGTTTCCGGTGACCAAACCAGGTTGATACGCTATTCGATCCAATCGATTTTCGGGCCCATGCACACGGTAGGTTTGGAATTAGGATTTTCTAGGTAACTAGAGTATCCACCAGTCCAGCTGTAAGTGCCGGACGTTCTGTGAGGAACACTGCCCCCCCCCATAGTGTGAAGGCAGTAAATAGGACCTACCTGACAGAGACTGTGAACGTGTGGCCACATGAGAGAATTATAAGAGGAAGACCGAAGTCTAATCATCCTCAGATGTACCAGGTCATTTATGGGGGCATGGAAAACAATAAGAAGTAATAGTACTTATATATTATCAAATCGCTGAGTGTTTTTTATGCTGGATCTTATCAAAATAAATACATCGTATATAAGTAGATTTTAGTATGATCACAGTAACAGGTACTTGACAAACAACATTTGGGCAGCAGAATATCTTTGAGAAGTTATTTTAACTCTAGAGACGAGTATCATATGGGTGGAACTGCTTAACAGTTCATACTGTATATCCACAAAAGGTTCTAAATCAAATTTGTTCCAAATGAATTTAGCTACGGCATTAAAAGCTGGAACTGGATTGGCGTCATATATAAAGTTTTACAACCATTATATAAAAACCCGTATAGCCAACATGAAAACACTAGATTGACAACATTATAGTTTGGCCTATGTAAAAGAAATTAGACTTACCGAATGTAGCTAAATCCAAATGAGTAAGTTCTTCAGGAGAATTTGGATTTATTGGAGAATCAAGTAGGTAAGGAGTTACCCAGTGTAATGAACGAATTTTTTCTTGTAATTTCAAGTCTACATTTTCATCATCAGTTGTAGGGGAAGCAAAAGCCCAAAAATAAATCCATGTTGTAACAAAGCGCTCTACTGAATTCATTATAGAATCCCTGGTTTGTACTGATAAACTCTGGAGTTGAATAAATAAATGGAATCAAATAATAATATTAATACAGTAATAATTTAAACAATCATATCATGAAAGGCTTTTGTTTACTCGCCACATAAACAAACAAAGAAAGACTAATCACCAACTGACTTCAGTTAGAGAATCGTTGGCTTCCGACTCAGTTGCTGAATGGTCTACGAGCTAACCTTGTAACCCGAAAGCCTTGGGTTCTAACCCCGACAGGATGACACAACTGTTCAGTACTTCAACTGAAGTCAGTCAGTCAGTCTGTCTGTTTTCGACGTAGAACTTTGCACCGATGTGCAGTAGTTCAGGTCGCTACACTCTATGTAGCACACAAAACAAGAGAAGAAAGCAGGAGAAATGCATATTAGAGACAGTAAACGGAGGTGTGAGACAAAGGAATAGTAATAACGAAGAACGATATGGTTTCATTTGAAATCATAAGTCACAAGGAGTGGATGCCTCTGCGCTGTCATTGAGAACGATTTTGAGCCATGTCATCAATTTTTCATACATTTATTCCCCTTAATGAACTTGATATATATATATATATATATATATATATATATATATATATATATATAATGTCTTTGCCATGTAAGCAGCTGACGAGAAGGCAACGAAATAAAAGATGGTACCATTTTATTCTGCCAAAACTGTAGTTCTTGCTTTGTTCAAATTCATCAATTTTTTCCAACCATTGGTTTTTACCGTCCCGAGGACTCCAACCGGGAAGTCTACACTTCCCTACGTGGCTTAAACTAACTGTCATGGATTTGATTGACTGGTGCCATGTTTTGGTTTGACTACCAGTAGCTAACTCTTTTCCAACCTGATCCATCCTATGTCAGCTAACATCGCCTGTCGAAGGAGATGGCTAGGGATGTATGCGTAACACGTGTCCTAACTATCTCAGTCTATGCAGCTGCTTCACAGCCTCGTCTATCGATTTCCCTTCCTTACCTAGCACTCGACGCTTAACCTCAATATTGCTCACCTTATTATACCACTTCACACGGAAGATAGAATGCAGGCACCTATGACGGAAGACAGCTAATCTTTTCATGTCTTCCCCTCTCAATGGCCAGAGGACTGCTGAGCAGTACACCCGCCTTTTGATCGATAGCCGGATATCACGTCTACGCCAGAGACGGCGTAAACTGGCATATGCGAACTGAAGTCAGTTCGTGATCAGACTTGAAATCAATCAAATCCCTGCAAATCAATATTTGAAGACAAGGAAAGGTCAATTTTATACCAACAACTTCTGGTACGAGCCGATATGACCAATGAAGGATGCGTCCTTCATAAAAATAAATAACGTGGAAGTAAAACTTTTAATTTGACTCATAGAAACAACTACAGCAACAAGGAAAGATTACAGACTATTAAGATGCAGGTTATATTTAGATTATGAGGAAAGTAGTTATATGGTTATCTAAAAAGATCTAAGTTTTACTGCATTACACTAACAGGACAGAGATAATATACTCAATTATTTGTAAAGAGAAAAAATAATGACTCACTGAGTACATAGGATTATTTAAAATACGGTTGGAAATGTTGTGGTAAAAATCTTGCACTATCATTGAAGCCTGATTAATGTTCGAACCACGAATAGGTTCTAACTGTTCCAAAAGCTTTGAAACCTTAAGAAAACTTCCATGATTACAAAGCAGGTCTTACATGACGGGAAATATCTGCATTTATAGAAGCTCGAAGAGTGTTCAGAAAGGCTTTAAACTCTTGTTCAGCTTGTAAACATTCTTCTGGATTTACTGGATTTGGATCACGACTATCATCTGAAACATTTGAAAAGATTGGCCCTTACCTCGAGGAACCTTGAAAATATTTTTGATGGTCGAGTTTTTTCCAGTGCTTTGTTTGCGCTTAACTTCTGTATCAGCAGAGCTCTGTGACAAATTTGTTGTAGCTGTAGATGTTTGACGGAGAGTTGTTTGTTTCTGATGTGCGTTACGGTAGCAGACGGAACAATATCCATCCCACGAAGGATTTCCATAAAAACCACACTTATTTTTACAGGATAAACTTGACACTTGAAGACGAGAAGGTGGGAAGTTGGTGTTCATTGGACAGTTTTTGATTCAATCGAGGACAACTTTTGTTTCTAAAACGAGACAAGGTGAAACAAATTGGGTTTAATAAATGTATTGCGAAAGAGAACATTTTTATCATTACATATACAAAATAAACACCTTTAAGGTTATTTGGACATATTACATGTTTCATCTGCTAAGCGGCACTCTATTCAAACTCACGTAGTCGTGTAAGGGCTTATGGGGAATTGTCATCTGAATTGATAACAACCAGTGGTGTCCGACAGGGATGTCCACTTTCCCGATTCCTGTTCTACTTCATCATAGATATGCTAATGAAAGTATCCTTAACTGAACGTAACGACTTAGGAATCGATTTGTTACCAGGGATAGTCTTATGGACTTAGAATATGCAGATGACATAGTCCTGTTATGGGAGGATGCTGACAAAATGCAGAGTTTTCTGAACACCTTGAGCAGCAATCTTCGTATGTTTGGCATGCGATTCGCCCCTGTAAAATGTAAGATACTGCTACAGACTGGACTACGTCAACTCCTAGCTTAGTGATAGGGAGTGAAGTGATAGAACATGTTGATCACTTCACCTATTTGGGAAGTTGTATCAGTACCAACGGACTGATTGGTGACGAAATCTCAGCACGGATCCAAAAGGTTTGAGCTGCTTTCGCTGACTTACACCATCCCTGGCGTAGGCGTGACATCCGGTTATCAACCAAGGGACGTGTGTACTGCTCATCAGTCCGCTCCGTCCTTCTCTATGGCTCTGAAACATCGCCAATACGAGTTGAAGACATGAAAAGGTTGACTGCTTCCGATCATAGATGTCTGCGATCTCTGTCTCACGTTAAGTGGTTTAATAAGGTAAGCAATGTTGACGTTAGGCGTAGAGTGTTGGGCAAACAGGGAAAATCAATCGACGAGGCTATAAAGTTACATAGACTAAAATGGCTAGGTGACGTGCTTCGCATGCCTAACCACCGCCTCCCCCGACGGGCATTATTAGCTGATATAGGTGCGTGCAGGTTGGAAAAGAGTAAGTGGTGGCCAAACAAAAACATGGCCTCATCAATCCATGAAATCCTTGACAGTTAAACTGAGTCAGGTAGGGAGATGCAGACTTTCGGGTTGGGGCCCTCGGGACTCTAGGAATCAATGGCTGGAGACAATAGGTGACATGGCTCAAAATCGTTGTCAATGGCTGGCGCAGATGTATTCAGTCTCTGTAATCTTTCATATTCCTTTCTACCATTACCCATTCTGTTTCGCTCTTATACTTGTCAAACTCTATTGATTCTCTTCACTCATCTTCTTGTCTACCTTTGTGTGCTATTTGGAACGTGGCAACTCGAAGTGCTACACTTTGGTGCCAAGTCCTATGTTGAATCCAGACAGAGAGACAGACATCTGCTAAGCTAGTCCTAAGTCAGTAAGTCAAGCGGAACACATCTTCCATGCACCAGACCATGAGTCACACTTACTATGCGAAGGCTGATGATACTACTGAGAGAGCATTTTTAACGTAGGACTGCATAGAAGTCCAGCAGTTCAAGTTGCTACATTATATAGCACACAGAACTAGAGAGAAAAAGTTTAAAAGAACTATAATGGAAGAAAAATGTCAGGTAGAAAGAAAAGTACATGAACATTAATGAGAATTTGATAGATCTACGAGTTTACAAAGAATGAATGCATCTGCGCAACTGGTAACAATTTTGAGCCATATTACCAACGCCCTCAAGGACACCAACTAAGCAGCCTACATGACTCAAACCAACAACAAAGACTTGATGGAATGATGCGATGTGTTGGTTTGACTATTCCTAAAACTTTTTCGGTTTAACCCCTTTATCGACTAACATTGCTCAATAAGAAAGATGGTTCGACATGAATGACACGTACTCAAGATACCTCAATCGGTGAGGCCCTTCTTATTTAACAATTTTCATCTGCAATATTAATCATGTTATACCATAGTACGGGATACGGAACTGATGCCGATACTACCCGCTTTCTCAGGTTTAAGTAGGTGGAGTGTGACTCAAACCCAGGGGTTGCTGACTGAAAGCTGAAAAATAATCGTGTAGGCGAAATCTATAGTGTATACACTGTCATTAAAATACTTTAAAATTATGTACTTATGAATTCAATGTTAACGGAAATCAATACTGAAGACATGTATGATTAATTTTCGAAATATCGCACCACTTTATTATCTATTAAAAAGTAAACCGAAATGGGATAAAAAACCAAGAACATTAGCTGGCGAAATTCAACTAGGCTACTACCATATCATTAATAGCAAGATGTACGGTGTTAGCAAATTAGATACATTTTTTCAAAATATGAAGATAACTATAATACTGACTACTTGTCATATGAAAACCAGATTTCAGATGTATCATCCATTAGAATCACTGAAGAATTAGTGTTCTTGTTAATGCTTTAAGCATCAAGAAGGTACAAAACCTCTACTACTTATAAGCAGATTAGGTGAGACGCATTGTTTGGCTTATTCATAATCAAACCCGATAACTTGGACTATATGGTAGAAAGCTTATCCACTCAGTAGTGAAACTGCTAGTGATAATCAACGTATCTGTAGGGCTTTTAAGGTTACATTGCATTTATTTTCATCAAAAGGGTGACTCTACATTAGGAGGTTCCACTGCCTGGCTGGAGTCCTCAGGATGCTAAGAATCAGTGGTTAAAAACGGCTTGAAGTTGTTTACAATAGAACTCCCTCGGTCGTCTCATCTTCCAGACTCGTTATATCTTCCTACAGCTATTTTAGTACACTTCTGTTTATTGTAATTTTATTGAACTTTTTTGGTCTACTTCATGTGATTCTATATGAAGTGTGGCAACTTGACTTAGTACCTCCTTAACGTAGTCCTAAGCTAATAATTCAACCCCTCATGCGGCAAACTATCCTTAATAAAAATGTGATCTAAGGCGTTGACTGAATACCAAAACTATTTCTAAGCGGCTTGAACCTGCAAAGTTTCAAATTCCTAAAATTTAAAGGCATTAGTATCTGATCAGGCAACAAAACTAATACGCATGAGGCTGACGTCTGCATAGCCAATTAAGTTACTCCAATTCTGGACTGGTAATGCGGAAAAATGGTCTCCGCAAGCAGAAAAAATATTCCAAATGTATTCTGTGTTGTGTCAGCTTCCTGAAACCCGTCACTTTCATTTGCTGATACCAGTAACTGTTTATTAACCTAGTTATGTATGTGCGTAAGCTCAATAATCCCAGACGGGATAGAAACTAACGAATAAACCCAGATAAAATTAATGTCTGAGCAACTACACGAAGAACTAACTTACAGTAGCACTACCTCTAAATAGCCCGCTTCTCAAGAACTTGCTCAATTTCACAGTCACAAATTGCGTTAACTTCTGCTTTCATAGTTGGGGATCTACTTAACCACCATAATCCGGTAGTAGATGTCCCATAATGGAGATTGATAAACTGAATCATCTAATTAGGTGAAAGCTTGTCGCCGGTAGAGAAGAAAAAAGCAGTTGATTCTACTTTTCAGCAAACTGATGACAAGTACCTGGAGCTTAAATACTCCTTGAATGACCTAATGGCAAAGTAATCTGGTGCGATTAATTTGTTCAAAATAGGCTCACCTGAGGAGTACGACCAAATTCCAATTGCAGCAGTAGACACTCTGGAAACTACTATCATTCCACCTCTAGAATTCCTACTCATGCCATTCGGTTTCCGGAATGCAGCACATTCAGATTCAGATTTTCAGATTCAGATTTATTGGTTGAGGATAGAAGGCTTGCAGCCTATGTTAATCCTTTTCTAGTAGATTTCTGTGGTTGTCCAAACCCTTCTTGAACGAATCAATTGAAGTTGCAGACACCACTTCTTCTGGGAGTTGGTTCCAAGAGTTTATGACTCGATGTGAGAACCAGTACTCAACAGCAATATGATTTCTCCTTGGCTTTTGAACTTTCCTGCTATGTCCTCTAAGGTGTTCCGACCTGGTGGGAAGGAAAAGAGAGAATAGGTCAGGTCCGTAGTCATTATTTAAAATTTTAAACATTGTGATTAAATCTCCTCCCTGCCTACGGTATGACAGTGAGAAGAGATTTAAACTATCTAGTCTTTCCTCATATGATAAGTTAGCTATGCCGTGAACCATACGTGTTGCCTTCCTTTGAACACTTTCTAGAATGTGTGAATCCCCTTTTAGACACGGACTGGCGGCCTGGATGCAGTTTTCCAGTCTTGACCTAACCAGAGATGTGTATAAGGAGGTGAACATATCTCTGGTAATTCTTGTAAAGGCTCTGCGAATCGCCCATAAGGACCTGAAACTACGTGCAGCCACCGCGCGACAGTGTGCTGTAGTTTTTAAGTCGTGGCTAGCTATGACACCTAAGTCCAAGTGAGTCTGAACTGATGGAAGTGTTATTCCCTCTAGTTCGTAGGAGCTCGTGCTTGCTTGTCCAATGCGCATGGTTGCACATTTTGCCACATTGATCGGGAGCATCCATTCAACAGACCACTCCGACAGTTTGTTGAGGTCGTCTTGCAAGGTGGACGTATCACTGTTGCCCTTCAGCTCCCTTCAAATTTTTAAGTCATCTGCATATAGGACCATAGGGGAGTCGGTAAGCAGAGGTAACTCATTGATATACAGAATAAAAAGGAGAGGACCGAGAACCGTACCTTGTGGCACTCCGCTACTTACTGCTGTCCAGGAGGAGAGTTTTGAGTTGATCCAAACCCTCTGCCTCCTATCTATGAGGAATTCCCTGAGCCAGTCTAGTAGTCTGCCTTTGATACCAAGACTTTCCAATTTCATGAGTAGTATTCTACTATCCCGACTTTGTATACGCACACCGCCTCATCACCAGTCCGAATAAGGAAAATTACCATCGACACTAGGCCTGGCGTTCAACAGGCTTTACTGCAATAATGTTTCCGATAATATCCAATAATACCAAAAAGGATTGGGTTCACTAGACTTTCTTGTCCAAACCATTGACTTTAATGGTATCCTCCCAACGGCCAGTAAATTCGAGGCAATTTTTAACTTTTTGGACCCAAACACTGAAAAATATTCTCCTTTTTAATGCCTTAAGTTATTACCAACGGTTCGTTTTCAGCTGTCTCCTCAATTCAGCCTCTGGCAGACTTTCTATGGTGTGTAAAGTGCATCAGTTTTGACACGTTTGCTACGGATGCTTCTGCTCAGGCAAAAAGAAGCCATCGTGCATGCCACCCTAGTTGCGTCGGTATCCAACGGTACCCTTCAATATCTAAGTTGGTGCATTCGACACTGCAGCCCCTGAACTTCGGCAACACCTAGCTAATCAGAAGTTGTGTGAGAGTCTTGAGAGTTTCACCAAATCAACTGAGTTCCGGCCATCAACGATCAGTTTGTTTATCTGTGCGGACTGAAAGAGATGGTCGTTGGGTGGATTTTTGAAAGACAAGAAAGGGGTGGCTGCGTTTCTGTGCTACCATGTATCTCTATACTTTCTTCACACAACCATGATTAAATGCATCTTTAAGCAATCGCCACTAGGTTAGGTGGGACAAGCTGAAGAGGAGGCAGGCAATGTGATCAAAGCTAAAGTCCAGCAGGATGAGTGGCCACACAGTAATTTCAGCGTTATTTCTAGTTGAAGCCAACCGGAAGCCAATTTGAAGTTGTTTAAGCGGCCTAACTAACTGGTCTCCTGAGGTGGCAACCAACTGCCTTCAAACAGTAGAAAAAATTGCAGAACGCTCAGCGGGCATCTGGGTATAAACGGTGCAGTACGCCACTTCCGAAATTTGGTAGAGGGTTATGGGTGCATAATTTTTGCAGACCTCAAATCACTCACGTACTCTCTTAACTCAACCTCGGATAGATGTTTACAAAGACAGCCACACCAACTTGATTACATTTCACAGTTCACATTGTATATTCGCAACCTGTCCGGGGTCAAAATCAGCTTAACATGGTATCATTGTGCGCTGGTACAAAAAGAATCCTATGGATAAACATTTTAAAATGCAACGCGGCTTACAATTAGCATAGGCTTGCAGGCGCGTGTTATAAATAGTACGCATATTACGTGAGTTGTCAGTCCTAACAATAATTCATTTTCATATCATCAAAATATCCTGAGCTCTTTCAGGAATTGTGTCTACGAAGGATATGGAAGTTGCACTGTCATTCATATTTTTTGACCATTAATGACCAAGCAGCTTATCTGAAGAGACTTAGTGCTTTTCATGTTAAAATGCTTGGGAATGTGTAGTTAATGCGTGCTATTGTCCACGGAGGGACAGTTGACGGATATGAACACGCAATCAGGCTCCAAATTAAATCTACAGGAATGCGGCAGATTGTTGAAAAGAAACTTCGTCAAAGAAAGTGGGCTGAAGAAATAGAAAGATGAGTCGATCCGAGTTAAGTAATTACCGATTTAGATGCGTGAAAATTATTTCAAAGTTCAGAATAATGCCAAAACATCAATGCCTAATGTGCTTCATGCTATACTTGATAAAAGGGACAATGTTTGTGATACTGAAAACCACAGAAGAATGGTATCATGACCAACCAATGAGAATTAGCCTGTGTCGAAAAGGTAGCCAATATATAGCGTTTGACTTTTATATTGCTTTCTTCTAACCGAAACGGATTCAAAAACACACTTTATCCACTTATTTGCAGGACTCTGCTAACGCCGGTCAACGTGGTCACAGCGATTCAACACCACCGAAAGAATTACGACAAACAATTGTGTACAGACATTTGCTTGTTATTATTTTTCATTAAATATACCTCATGCCCTGCCTAAAATACATTTCCCATTCTATTTAAGTGAAAATAAATTTGATGAGATGGAGGCTTGACTTATCCACGAGATTTGAGGGAGTAACTGGTGGCATAATTCAACGTAAGCGAAACATTACTACGATAGCTACAGTTCTATCTACCCAATTATTTGTCTCATGTAGACTTTATTGTGCAATATAATCATATGGATTGACATAACGCTTTAAATGAAATAATAATAATGCACTGCTTTGAAATACACCTAATCTTATAAGAAATCCAACTCCACTGCAGTGCTTAAGTTCTATTCTTATTTTCAAATACAAGGGTTAAGTTATTTTGTAACTGGTTCTTACAGAACTACGCGTGGCTAAGAGACATAATCGCATAACTTTAGGTAAATATTTAGGTTTCACCGAGGTACTTATAATCCACCACTTATATTGATCGTTAGTGTCCGCACAGAATTAAACTTACGAAAAGCAACGAAGTCATATGCTGGGCAGCGCCCATCCAGGATGCCGTTATGTTCTAGACAATAAAAGACGAGAAAACCAGAAGCAAGGTAAATATAAAATGCGACACCGCTTATCCCTACCCCCTGGTTTTCTCATCTTTTGTTAGCTAGAACAGTAGCTGTCAATGTAGCTGAAGATTGAACGATCAATTCATGGTTGTTTGCTCAAACCCAACTCCATATTTTTCGCGGGAGTCATAAATCCAGAAGTCACCGTCTCATCGTTCGCTGTTCATTGGAAGATAGAAAACTATCAGAAACCTTGTGTGTAATGACCTTATTGTTGGTTACATATTGGCGTAAGGATAAAGGATTCTCGAGTCACCAGTCTGCGTTCTGGTTTCTTCGCGTTGGTTATTACAAATTGTTTCTGAAAGTCTTCCAGGGACAGCGTGAGGTCCAGCGTAGTAAGAGCTGGACATTGACAGATTCTGATAGTTTCTGCTCGTCTTTCCCGGTGTCTGCAAGTCTTCTTTGGACAAGTATTATCTGGAACTTTTCTGGATTGTTTGGTCAAGTTTAGTAATGCCTGGGTCAAAGAAAGGACAAAGCGTCTTGGAAGCAGACAGGAAAATAAGCAATGCTGATTTGCCTCTTATATGTAATGATACGTATGATGCTCAGCATCATGAGCCTGTTGTTTATATTTCGCCATCTAGGGATAATAGGAATATTGAACTCCCTAAATTTGAAACACGGTGTTTCGACGGAAACCCAGCTGACTATCCACAGTTTGTAAAGGAGTTTGAAGTCATGTTGAGTGGTTTTTTATAAAATGATGAAATGAAGTTGATGCCTTTGACGAGGCACTGCACTGGAGTTGCTTCAAGAGCTATACAGTGCTGTAACTTTATGCCCCAAACGAAGGATACTCTGAGGCTATGAGCATACTAGGTCAAAGGATTGGAAGACCTTCGATGATTGTAAGGAACGTATTCGAGGCTGTTAAATGTAATGGTAGTCAATTACAAGATGACTCCAAGTCACTGTCTGAGTT